TGTATATATATGCGTGTATATGTATATATATATATATACGTATATATATATATATATATATATATATACATATACAGTATACACGTGTATATATATATATGTATATATATATATACTTTTTAAGTCATGTATCATGCATAGGAACGTTGACGCCTGCAAGGCTCTGGTTTCTAATAAAGTATGAGCTATGCTACTAGTATATTTCTGTGTAATACAAATAAAATAAAGGCAATTTCCCTGTCATTTTTATTTATGTATATGATTTTAATTGAGATAGGACATTCCCTACCACCACCACCCCACTCCAAAATTTCAAAAAATATGTACACAGTTTTTTTTATCATTTCATTTATTTCGCATCATCTTAAAAATATATACAGGATAAAATACATTAAAAACGTTAGAAAGCAATACATGAAAAGAGACTGGAACTATTAAGAGAGGTAAAATAAAATGAAATTAAAAAAAAGATTAATGAATCGGAGGTTTATTAGGCGCACGTATCTATCAATGGAGATGCTCACGGCGCTGCAGCCTAAAAAATGACAATGACATCTAGATGTGTATAAGAGACAGCCTCCATTTTGGTCCACTTTCCTTAAATTCGCACCCACAAAATAAAAATCCTGCGTGCGGGCTTACATGGTACTGTACTGTAGTTGTTCATTGTGAATCTCCAAGTTGAAAATAAAGATAGTGGTGTACAGCTGCAATCAAAATAAAATTAGAATTGCTATGGAGAATTTTGCCGATCGAAGACGCTCGTGCATACCTAAACAGGCCGTAGATATACAGGGGCTTTGGCCTAGCATTTCTCGAAAAATATTCATGTTTGGGGGCCATCTTTTGGAGCATTAGCTAACCAGTAGCAAACCTAAATCTCAATTTAAAATCAATTTGGTATAGTTACTGGCATTCCAAACAACATTAGGTCAATCTTTTTTTTTTTTTTTTTGTTGGCCACGTTTTGGCAAAATACAAAAAAAAATGGGTAGGTCGGTAGAAAAACTTTTTAATTTTTTAAACCAAAAATGTGTTTACACTTGAAAAGTAGAAAATACACAAATAATACAACAATTTCAGATTCGCATCGCATACCATGCACCAAAATAGGCTATGCCTCGGCCCCCCTATCCTAATCCAAGGCTATTCCAGCCTTATAAGCTCATGAAAAAAAAATATTGTTCCTTGTAGTAAAAAAAAAAAGCTAAAGTGCCGACCCTGAAATTCGTAAAATTTGGGTCGGTCGGGCGTGGCCAACACAATATTTGTATTTGGCCTTATTTAATATTAAGTAATATTACCGTACTCTCGTGAATATGCGCCAGAGTGCTTTAAATGTTTTTGCACTTTTTGAGGGGCGCGCGCTTATGAAAACAGAGTGGAAATGTTTATGGAAATATATGAATATTGAGGGTTCTTATGGGACTTTTGAAAATTCAAGGGGCACTTTTTGAATGAAGAAAGATTGTATAAGGACATCTGGAAACCGAAAATTACGAATGGTCCTGGTGCAGAAAAGTGGTGGATATGGTGTATTGCTAACCATCTGCCCATTGAAATAATTAGTAGGATCATTGCAGGGCTTCTTGCAAAATTAAAACGTGCTAAAAGTTGCAAATTGTCGGGAAAAGAAAAAGCAAAAGGACTAGAAAAATGTAAGAAGAAAGTTTGAAAGATACTGTCTCGTCTGTCCAGGAGAAAATGTCCTTATTTTGAAGTTGACATAAGAAGAATAGGCCTATGTGAATCCACTCCACAGATCAAATCGTGCTAACCAAAGTCCCGGGATTGCTTGGATTATTGGCTTGTTAAGAAAAAAATCACATGATATTGTTTCAAAAATATATATAAACATCGACGGGGTCGCTTATTTAAACAGGGCGTTTATTCGCGCGATTACGGGTGTGCTTTACCGCAAACACTCAGAAGAAGCCACGCGTTTTCCTATTACGAAGCATCGCGCGCTCGCATTGCATGTTTACAGTACGTCGCGTGACTTAAGATTCTTATCGGAATGATCGTCAAAGGGCTGAATTCAAGTGGTTTTTCTTTTTGGGCATTTTTTCTCTAAGCCCCAATATTTTGTGTATATACTATAAGGGTCCCACACCAACTGCACCCCAGAATCACCCCAGACAGTACACAGGAAAGACGGTTATATAGGTCTCTTTATTTAGTGAATTGAGAGGAAATTAGAAGAATGAAACGTGGAAAACAGATTGAAATTGTTAAGTACAAAAAATAGGCTATATATGAAAAAAGAACATAGGCCTATTTTAACGGTAATTAAACCGGACCCGACGTTGCTTTAAGATGTATTGTCTCTTGCTAATGTCAAAACATCATAAAAAATAATTTTGAAATAAACTTGCTCTTATTGCAATAGTATACAAATTATTAACTTGTGCATAAGAATTATTGAATTAAAAAATGTGTACCCTGATTTTTAAACCAAAAAATTATTTTAAAAAAAAAACAAACAAAACAAAATTATAATAAAAATAATAAAACACTTCCAGACTGGAAGTGTTTCTATCATTTTTCGCTGTAACTGATGGGTAGACATTTTTTAAATACACTAATTTCTATGTTCAAGTTGATAACTTTTATGTTACTTCAAAATGGGCAAGTTAATTTCAAAAAACATTTTTATTATTTTTTTTGGTATTTACCATGGGACAATACATCCTTAACTTCGCTGATCGGACGAGAACCGGTGTGTTATGGCCGTATGCATGGGAAATATATTGCCACACATAGCATATCTTGGCATACAGGATAATTATCCAATCATTATTTTTCATATCAACACGCGCACTTGTCTGGCCACTGACCTCCCCTGACCACTCTGCTGCGCGAGTACATTTTTTACAAACACCGATGTTGAACAATAAACCAACTATTCTACTACGGCACTAACTAGGATGCTTTAGACAAAAAAAGACTGTGTTTTGTTCAAACGACCCTCGAGCCGGCCCAACGGCAACAAATTAATTGCGTATTGTTGATATGAACATAGTAGCTGTATGATTTTTAAGGTATAAGAGTGCAATTTCCGGGCGCCTAGAGGTCCATATTCTCAAAATGTTTGCACCACCTCAGCCCCAACTATGGTGGGCCTGAGGTCATGTAGACTCTCACGCACTCCTACTGCCAAATCGTGTATCGCATAGGTTTTCACTACATTACCCGAACATTGTATTAGAAGGCTACACCATATATACACTAGTATAGTAGCCCTAGTGTTCTACTCAGT